AAAAAAAAAAAAAAAAAAAAAAAACACGTAGCATCTTCTGCAAGATTCGTTCTTCTAATCGGGACGAACGTTCAAAACAATGAAAAAGAGTAAATCATCGCGACGCGGAGGGCATTGATCGATCGATGGTTGTACGAAAGTCGAACGTGCAAATATTAGCTTAATTTTCATCGTGAAATCTATCTAAAAAAAAAAAAAAAAAAGGAAAAAACGCGATCGGGTAAATTTGTCTGAAAAATAAAGTTACAGAGGGATATTTAAATCAGTTGTTAGCTGTGTAAATGCGTACCTATATTTTTCCTGTATCAAAAGGAATTACGTATAAAGTTGTCAAAAGGACAGGTATAGTTCATTGTATGTGACATAAGATGACTTGCTACATCAATCGATATTACCGTCTGTGTTTTATTTTAAAATAATTGCAACGTTTCTTCCACGTCTTCCATCGGCTGCCTTTATGTAAACATATTTTTTTGTGTTTTATAAATTTATTAAGAGGCGATGTTATTAACGTTATCGCAATTTTCTTATATTTATCGACGTTGCGAAAACTAATAATCGATGTTATTGAAATTTTTTAACGAGGTATCGAATATTTCAGAAAATATTTTTATCCCACAAAGCAAAGGAAGTTAATGTTAAGAATTCTTTTAATCATAAAAATTAAACAGCTCTCGATAATTTTATAACCTACAACGAGATTCTTACAATTTCGTTAATTTACCACCAATTTTGTAGTACTTTGATATTTTACTTTCAATATATTTCAAGGAATTATGATCTAGAGAACAACTGATTTATTTCACAAAATCTAAAGAACAAATTCTAGAGAACACAATGATCTATTTCACAAAATCTTTTGGCACGAAATTCTAAAACAATTCCGAGCTACGAGAATACTTTTATCTCACGTAATCTGAGAATTGAAAATTCATAATAAATTACTTGATAAATTACTAAAAATGTTACACCGATATTTATTATTACGATAAATGTTATCATAAATTAGAATATCCACGAAAAAAAGGCTTTTATTAGTTTTATAACTCGTACTTTAATACTCGTACCTTCCTGAACTACCTCAAAATCTTTACCATTTTAACAATTTACCGCAAATGTTCATAACGTTTCGACGCTATATTCCCGATGCATTTCAAGAAGATCCTTCAAAAGAATTTTCATTTCACGAAACAATTTTTTCTTTTTGCAATTAAAAACTCCTGCGTAGTGTCACGAAATTCTTGTCCACCTGTTTCAATAATTCGCCACGAACGTATCTCGA